GAGGAGAATTGATGAAGGATGCCATGAAAACTCAGAAAGAACCCGAACCCACAAAGTAGGAAGAAGGGGAACGCCCGAAAATAAAAGAAAAGGTTAAGATGAAATTGCCAAACGTATTGTGGATTGAGGAAATCCAAACGTATTGTGGTACTGCTCCAGTTGAACCAGAAAGTCAAGTTGCCTTCTCCACAAGTTGCAAGGAGTGGGTGTTGTCTAAGGCCAATGATGTTGGGTTCGAGGACATTGGTGAGTGGGCGAAAACTATGATCCTGCGAGAATTCCTCCAGAAAATCAAGGAGAGATTCCTCGATAAGACGACGACCAATAAGGCCTTTGATGAACTCACCATCATTAGCCAAAAGTGTTGGACCACTGTTGATGCTTTGTCACGTGAGGTTGATCATTTGTTGCAGGTACCCGGACTAAACCTTCAAGACAACCACATTCTTTACATTTACTCGTGTGCTCTGCCCGACCCCATACGCAGACAACTCGTGGCAAAAAGCAAACCCAGTAAGTACAACTATCGTTAGTTTCGAGACCTCTCGCTGCAAAGGGAGCAGATGACTACACAGGTAAAGGGCACCAATGCGTTTGTTGTGAGAGGTGGGTCGCCATGTGGGTTTGGGAATGGGAAGAGAGAAGCTCCAGGACCACACTCTCGTCGTATTCGACGATGAGACTACTGGGAGATGGCTCCTCGAAGAGGCAGGGGGCAAAGCAAGTAATGGTGGCGAGTCTGGAAAGGGTGACGTCGCCGCCATGGTGGCCAACAAGGGTGGCACGAATCAGGGAGGATATAAGAAGAGGAGGTCACACTTCTTTCTGGAGCATCCTGGCATTGCGTTTGGTTGGCCCTGGGAAAAGATGGGCCTCACCCAGAAGGAATGGCAAGAGCGTATGGATAACAGGCAGTACCTGAAGTGTGGCACTGTGGGACACATCATTGCATGGTGTCCCCTCATCCAGAACCCAAAAGGGAGCAGCCAGTAGGAGTAACATCTGCTCCTACCGAGTTGGAGGGTTTAGTCGAAGGTAAGGCACCTACAACCCCTTTCAAGCCCTCGACTCGCATGGCAGAGAATGACCCCTTTCGACCTGTTGCCCAGAACACCCTGAAATTGTCTTGTGTTTTGTCTTTCTAGGTGATACCCTTGACGAACTTGTTACTGAATTCATTGCGCTAAGAAGTTTGTGGGCTAAGAAAGCAAAGTCTAAGAGTGAGTTGATTATGGATGACATTGAGATTGCACGTACATATGTAGGTGCATTGTTAGATCCAGGTTCCACGTGATCCTACATTTCAAAAAAGGCAATAAGAAAGTTGCATTTGAGAATGAGAGTGTAGGATGTGCCCAGACCTATTACGTCTATGCGTGCGGACAAAAGCACGAGTATTGTCTCACAATTTGTTAGTCGTGTGAAATGTTATTTTAGAACTAAGGAAGGAAAAAAAATATTGCATGAAGTCACCTTCCTTGTTGAGAGGAGCCTACCCTTTGACACGATTTTGGGAATGGATTGGCACGAGGAAGCTGACCCAGATATCAAGTTCAAAGGTAAGATTGTCAAGTTAAAAGAAAAAATCTAAAATGGAACCTATTAAATTGTTCCACATATCTGGTTCAGACTCATCATTGTCTTTTTGTTGCATGAGTCTACCTGCTTTCAAAAGTATAGTCATGAGAAAGAGGTTGGATCTCGACATGATGATGGTACTCATCAAATGAGTAGGTGAATGTTTCTCGTCCCACCCATCTTCTATTGAAAAATTACTCACTGAATTTAAGGACTTGCAGTCTGAGCCAACGAGAATAACTGACTGTGCTATTAAGCCGATACTTAAATTCCTAAGGGAGCCATCTATCGTATGTCAGCAAAAGAATTAGAAGAACTGAAGAAATAACTGCAAAAACTTACACAGAAATGATGGATTCGACCAAGTTCCTCTCCCTTTGGTACTCGTGTCTTATTTGTGCCCAAAAAGGAAGAAGAACTTAGACTTTGTATCGATAATCGAGGATTGAATTTCATTACTGTAAAAAATGCAGAACCCCTTCCTCGCATTGATGACTTGCTTGATTAGTTGTAGGGGTGTAAGTACTTCAGCAAGATTTATCTAAAATCAGAATACCACCAGATTGAGGTGGCATCTGAAAATCAACACACGACTGTCTTCCGAACCAGGAATGGACACTATGAGTTATGCCTTTCAGACTGACTAATGCACCCACGACTTTTCAAAGGTCGATGAATGAACTGTTCAGACAGTGGCTAGATCAATTCGTAGTGGTGTATCTCGACGACATCCTCGTCTATTGCAAGACATTGGAGCACCATGAGAAACACCTCCGAATGGTTCTAGGGAAATTGAGAGAAGAGAACTTGCGTAGCACCCCGTTCGTGTTCGCCGGCGAACGCGAACGGGCTCCAGAAATGCATAGGTGGTGCCCCTGAACCCCCCCGGTGTTTGCAGAAAGGGTCGGGGGAGCATAGGTGGTGTCCCTGAACCCCCCCGGTGTCTCCATATCCAAAGTTGATGGGGGGGGGGGGGGGGTTCTCTCTTCTGCAATGGTACTTCGCCCCACCAGATCCACCCCGTCCCTCCACGCAGCACATAAAGACTGTCACAGTTTGTGTGTGCTGCCCAACAGATTGACCTATATGTGACTGACTGTCTGTCACAGTCTGTCACAGTCAGTCTGTTGGGCAGCACACATAGACTGTGCCCAACACAGATTGCAGCACATAGACTGGTGGGGGCCAGCTCACACAGAGTTTGTCGCAGTCTGTGTGACAGACTCTGTCACAATCTGTGTGACCGACAGTCTGTCACAGTCTGGTGGGCAGCACACAAAGAGTGTGACAGAGTCTGTGTGCCCGTATCGGACAGACTCTGTCACAGTCTGTGTGCTGCCCACCAGACAGTGACAGACTGTCGGTCACACAGACTGTGATAGACAGTCTGTCACACAGACTGCGACAGACTTTGTGTGAGCTGGCCCCCACCTGTCTGTGTGACCGATAGTCTGTCACAATCTGGTGGGCAGCACACATAGTGTGACAGAGTCTGTGTGGCCCTAGCGGACAGACGTTGTCACAGTTTGTACGCTGCCCAGCAGATTGTGATAGACTGTGACATACTGTCTGACATACACACACACACGCACACACTTGCTGCACTCACACAGACAGTCTGTGTGACAGACTGTCTGTCACAGTCTGTGTGATAGTCAGTCTGTCACAGTCTGGTGGGCAGCACACACAGAGTGTGATAGAGTCTGTGTGCCCCTACCCTACAGACTCTGTCACAGTCTGTGCGCTGCCCACCAGATTGTCACAGACTGTGACAAACTGTTAGACACACACACACACACACACACACACACACACACACACACACACACACACTCAAACACATAGATCCAAAGATGATGTGGTTGGGGGGGGGGGTGTGGGTTTCTTTGTTCTGCAATGGTGCTGCCCCTCGCCAGATCAAACCCAATCCCCCCCCCTGTCCCCCCCCCCCATGCACCCCCTCGACAGACTGTTAGTCACAGTCTATGTGTGCTTGCCCCCCAACGACCACACATATGTGCAGACAGTCTGTTGGGCAGCACAACCAGACTGTGCGCAACAGACAATGCAGCACACACAGATTGTGACAGACTGTTTGACACACACACACACACACTCGCTGCACTCACACATACACACACATACACACACATACACACACATACACTTGCTGCACACACACACACACACAGAGGAGGAGTGCAGGAGACGGAAGCACACAAACAAAATACAATGCGAAAGCACTTAAAAGCAGCTTTTCAGGGCCTCAGTTAAAGACAAGCGGCAAGCACAGTGCTCTGGAATGTGAAAGACAACAGGTCCTCTCTCTCTCTCTCTCTCTCTCTCTCTCTCTCTCTCTCTCTCTCTCTCTCTCTCTCTCTCTCTCTCTCTCTCTCTCTCTCTCTCTCTC